TTTCTGGGCAAATGAAATGTGAAAGTCACTTGCCCGAATCCTTAACGTCAACTCCTGGTATGCCCGGCTTTACAGAGTAGCAGCTGCCATTTTTGCCCAAATATAGTAACACCTCAAACATGACATCTTCCTGCAATGACGTCACGGTGTGGTAAGCCTAGCGCCATTCTCCCCGCTTTACAAGCAAAATCAATGCCTCTCTGGGTCTATGAGCAAAGACCCTTAATCCCTGATTGCTCTCCGGACGCCCCACGATGGCCGCCCACTGCTTCCCAAGTGGATGGCTTAAATGCAGAGGTAAATTTCTCCAATGTGAGATCAATAAAGTTCAGTTATTATTACTATTATTAATGGTTGTCATGTGACCAGTCCTCACTGCAGCAGTCTGCAGCCCGGGGTCCCTTTGCTGCAACTTCTTCCCACGCCCCCTTTCTTTTAATTTTATTTCCTGTTCCAAAATGTTGAATCATAAAGCTGCATGAGAGCATTCCTAAACACGTTTAGCTTTGTTTGGGTCTAATCCTCACGCTGTTTAAGGAGGATTATTGGCAGGAGGAAAGTTTCTGTTATTTCAGCTTTTTTGGTGGACTTTGGAGAAGGTAATCTTTGGACGTCCAAGTAAAAGTGTTGAACCTCACGTATCTCTCTGATCCATCCTTATATCTTATCTCTCATCCTTCCTGTTGTCTTGCTCCCTCTCTAGCTTTGACCGGCTCTCAGAATGATGGGAGTCTCCTCATTGAGCAGTATGTGCCCTGTTCCCTCTGTGCGCCTTGCGAACGGCAGCAGCAGGATCCCGGAGAAGACGACAGAGGAAGAGAAGCCGAGGTTCATTACTTTAACATGGAGGACTGTGTGCTGGCTGCTGTGGAGAAGGACAGCATCATCTGTCCTCAGCATCCTGAGCAGCCTGTCCCCTTACAAGAACTGGTGCCAGAACTCTTTATGACCGACTTCCCTGCACGGTAAGCTGTGGGATTAAAAAGTACTTCCTACTTTTGGAGCCAAGTCATGAGGAAAGTTATTTATGTGGGCGTTAAAATCAGCATCAGGACTTTAAATGATTCAAGTATTGTAGATCTGCATCAATAATCATTTCAGATGAGTCCTTTTCAGAGCGAGATTGGCTCTTTGA